AAATTTTCAGCTTCCTAGCTTTTGTGGTTCCCGAGTTGAAAGTTGCGGACAAGTTGTTGCGGACACGCACACACACACACAAACATACACAGACAATCCCGTGGCAATATGCGTTTTGTACTGCTGTTACACAGCACAAAACGCATAAAAAGAGGAACAAAGGGCTAGTAAGAAGTATGGAACGATTAGTGGTAGTGGATGGAGGTGGTGGGTGTCCAGCTGGCGCTCTGCAGGCAGGGGTTTGAGACAGGTAGAGGAAAGGAACAAGGGTACTAATCAGGAGTTCAAGGTAAAAACTGGAGAGTGTAATAAAGGCGGAGGAGCAGCACAACGATATAATGAAAGTAAATTAAAGAAGACCTAAACTTATGAAAGGAGAAACGAGTAGTGGGCTTCCTATTTATGAATCTGCTACAGAGGTAAAGATGAGAGCTCGCAGCTTCACCTACGTAGCTTCACCCCAGCTTCACCTAAGCATCAGCTTCATAGCTGGGGAAATCCCCTACTGATAGGCGGTTTTCCATTTACTTTTCTGTTAATTTCTTTCTTGCTTTTACTTTTTTTGCTTCCCTCCTTTTCACTCATCACCCCCGTTGGACAGCTTTACTCAGCGCTCACAGTAAAGTGCCAAGCGGGGTCGGTAAGCGACCCGCGAAATAGCGCGTAGCAGAAAAGTTGGTGTAACAGCCCAGCATTCGCAGATCGTGTGTGACGCTGCGCGAATCAAGCAGAGTTTTAGTAATTGTCCACTAAGAGTCACTAAGTTAAAATACAGCTGTATGCCGGGGAAGGAAATCATTAAACATTTTTTCGAGAAAAACTGTGAAACATTATTCGTTGTTCTCGATAGGTGCGTGCGAGCGCATAATCAAGACTCTCTTTTTTTCCTACTCATTGATTACGAAAAAGCATTCGATAATGCGGGAGTGACTGCTGCTTTGGGATCTTACAGATGGGCGTATTGATGGAAACTGTGTGAAAATCATAAAGGAAATTAGCATAGGCTGCTTGACAGACACGACACTGTTTAACGCATTTCCTCGAGACGATCTATCTTCCAGTCAGATGAAGAACGTACAGAATGTAGTTGTTACGTAGGACAGAGTAAAATCCTGCGCGCAGCACATGCTGCTCGCTTTGCGGACATTAATGAATGGCAAATGTGACGAAAAAAGAAGCCATTTGGACAAATCTCGGTAAGGTGACGCACATACGTCGAACAAGTGGTGAGTGAGTACTGACTAGTGGTATGTAGCCCAAGATCAATGAGCTGGCACAGCTTCGTCTGGTGTGCGTGAGCATCCCAACAGCATCACTAGCGTGGGTTTACCACACCGATTACTCATGCGGTCTAGGCACTTGCTGCTTTCTTCACTAGCTTATTTGCAGAACGATGAATTGTGGGAAAACGAACTTCTTTCTTCATTCCTTGTGTCATTTTTTTTCACCCTGTTTCTGTGCTTCAACCTTTCCAGTCTTCATTTTCTTTACCCTCGCCTTAGGGTCCTAGAAGCTACAGTCATCAGCTGAGCATCATTAGTACATTTACAATTGCGAACATTGAAGGTTAGAAGGAATTACCGCATTATGGTCGTTTACATTGGCACGTCTCATAATACTTTGCTCGATTATCGAAATTTATTGCATTTATACGTTTCAAAACAACATTCTATCAGAATTTTATAAAAGGTTGGTTCACGCCTTGTTATTATCAGCATTATGCGAAACACACCTCTGAACGCAAAAAGAGAATGACTGGCCAACGCACGAGCTGTCCATGCAAAGATCCGTTTTTTGCATAGCTGCCCGTAGATTTTTGTCGCTAACGGCACTGGTTTTTTCGGCAGATACTTCTAGCTAAAAGAATTTCATACTGGCCGCCAGAACTGTCAGGTAATATCCCTTCAAAATTCCAGTTTTCTAGCTTCTCACGTTTTTGAGTTAGCAACTTACCCGGAAAAAACTCTCACGGGCGCGTACGTAGGAGCACGCTTACCCGCGGACAGGGTTTGAACTCGTTAGTACCCATTTGGACAGGGAACATTCCCCTAAGATTTCAGCGTTCTAGCTTCTCAGATTCCCGAGTAATGAACTTGCCCGAGAACAATTTTGGCTGGCCCATACGCGGACACCACGCTTACCCGGGGGATGGGTTTCAGTGCTTTAACACCTACTTGGACGGAGCATCACCCTAAGATTTCAGCGTTCCAGCTTCTCAGATCCCCGAGTTATGAACTTGCCCCAAAAAAACTTTGGCTGGCCCGTACGCGGATGCCACGCGGGTGATCGCGCCCATTTTGGGGATTGGGGCCGGTACGTGCGTGTAGATTAAGTTCCCGAAATTTCAGCCCTGCAGCTTTTATAGGTCTTGAGATAAGAGTGCTTGACAGACGCACACACAGACACACAAAAATACAAACACACAGTCACTCGGAAACCCCTCGTCAATATGCGTTTTTGCATTGCATAGCTGCAAAAAGCGCATAAAAAACACAAAGATATGCAGGAGGAATTATCGATGCAGCACTTGTGATGTTCTCAGGAAAATACAAAGCATATCCTACTGATGTGATTTGTGCCAGAAATGCTTTAGCCTAGCTTCTCAGTTTGGTAAAAATGTAACACCCTCGGGTATTTTTAAGTAAGAAAAAGTTTTTGCCAAGTTTTATGTATTTTTGTAACCTCGATACATATGCAGTCAGATGAGCGACATATATTCTAACAAAATTACCACTTTTGTTTCCTGGCTAATTCTGAACTTGGCGCAGTGCCAAATATGAGTTTTGACATGACTGTACACGTGAGTTGAACTTGAAATCTTTAGCACACACATGGACAGAGAGAATCACTGTGGAATTTCAGCCTTCTAGCTTGTCTACCCTCGAAATCGTTTTGTGTCAAAAAATTATCATGGCCTTTCGGGCTCTGTACGCAAGTTCCAGCCGTACTTAAGCGATCCTTTCAAGTTGTAAGGATTAGGGAGACACATGTAAAATTTCAGCTCCTTGGTATCTCCAGTTCTGGAGCTGAAAGTGGGTGACAAAATTCACTCGCCCTCGTACACACACAAACACATATACACCGACATTCTCTTCACAGTGTGCGTTTTGCTTTTGCATAAGATGCAAGAACGCAAAAAAAAGCACTATGACCTGTTAGCATTATTCATGATTCAACTCACTTCGATTATGGGTGTTTTTATCTTGTGCTGTAAGCTGTATCGACTTTCTTGGTAGTAAGAGAAAAGCTGAGAGCGCCGAACAACTGCAACAACATTAATTCCACTACTTTTTAGCATTTTTCTCTCTCGGCCAACGTTACTGAGTAAAACCACGAACTGTTACATTCACTTGCTTTTGTACCGAAAAAATGAAAGGTTAGAAAACGAATTTATCGCGTTTGTAAACTTCCGCGGGAAATTTGAACGTTTTTGGGCTCGCTGCATGCCTTACAAAATCTTTTTGAACTGGTTCCATAATGCAGCTCATGTTGCAGGGTTTGGATTCCACGCATTCTGGTAAATGTTATTGCCGTTTCACTCAGCGTCGTGGTAGTGATAATTTGGTATTTTTTTAATTATTTGTTTGATTTGGCCACACAAATATATTGTGTTATTTTTCTTATGCTCTACACCACAACGGCAATCGTCCTATGCCTCGTAAGCTGCTATATAAACTTTTTTTGTTCCACACAAAAACGCAAGTGCGGTCCGTATATTTATAAAATATTCCCCCATGACTGGAAAACTTAACTGGGCCAATTTTAGCAAAACTGTTTCCAAAATATTAATATCGCAAGAGGGGCAATCATGCAACACATTTATCCAGGCCATCCTTTATTTTGGAAACGAAGTCATCGATGATTTGCTTTTGTGTACGATTTAATGGAACTCTGAGAACAGAAGGTAAGGAGCAACGAGCAAAAAAAAGGAGGTCGATGTATGCTCGCAAATATCCTGAAAGTTTCAAACAGTGCAACAACCTTTCTTGCTTATTTTTAACAAGACGATGGAATAACAACTGATCAAAATTGTTTTTCTACGATTAATCAGCCTTTTTGTATTGTCACTCTAATTGTGAATGAACTGAGTTTCAGTTAAACTGCGCAATCTGTCATTATCGGCATGGAAAACACGAATTGTTGATTAAGCATTTGATGGCTCCTCTTTTTTTCTTCTTACCTGTTACACTCATTGACTTACCGTTCACAGGTAATTTGAGCAACAA